TTTACAGTAAATTTCTGTAATTTAGTATCCGTCATTTTACAGTAAATTTCTGCAATTTAATATCCGTCATTTTACAGTAAATTTCTGCAATTTAATATCCGTCATTTTACAGTAAATTTCTGCAATTTAATATCTTTCATTTTACAGTAAATTTCTGCAATTTAATATCTGTCATTTTACAGTAAATTTCTACAATTTAATATCCGTCATTTTACAGTAAATTTCTGCAATTTAATATCCGTCATTTTACAATAAATTTCTGTAATTTAATATCCGTCATTTTACAGTAAATTTCTGCAATTTAATATCCGTCATTTTCCAGTAAATTTCTGCAATTTAATATCCGTCATTTTACTGTAAATTTCTGCAATTTAATATCCGTCATTTTACAGTAAATTTCTGTAATTTAATATCCGTCATTTTACAGTAAATTTCTACAATTTAATATCCGTCATTTTACAGTAAATTTCTGCAATTTAATATCCGTCATTTTACAGTAAATTTCTGTAATTTAATATCCGTCATTTTACAGTAAATTTCTGCAATTTAATATCCGTCATTTTACAGTAAATTTCTACAATTTAATATCCGTCATTTTACAGTAAATTTCTGTAATTTAATATCCGTCATTTTACAGTAAATTTCTGTAATTTAATATCCGTCATTTTACATTAAATTTCTGTAATTTAATATCCGTCATTTTACAGTAAATTTCTGTAATTTAATATCCGTCATTTTACAGTAAATTTCTGCAATTTAATATCCGTCATTTTACAGTAAATTTCTGCAATTTAATATCCGTCATTTTACAGTAAATTTCTACAATTTAATATCCGTCATTTTACAGTAAATTTCTGTAATTTAATATCCGTCATTTTACAGTAAATTTCTGTAATTTAATATCCGTCATTTTACAGTAAATTTCTGCAATTTAATATCTGTCATTTTACAGTAAATTTCTGCAATTTAATATCCATCATTTTACAGTAAATTTCTACAATTTAATATCTGTCATTTTACAGTAAATTTCTACAATTTAATATCTGTCATTTTACAGTAAATTTCTACAATTTAATATCCGTCATTTTACAGTAAATTTCTACAATTTAATATCCGTCATTTTACAGTAAATTTCTACAATTTAATATCCGTCATTTTACAGTAAATTTCTGCAATTTAATATCCATCATTTTACAGTAAATTTCTGCAATTTAGTATTCATTATTTTGCAGTAAATTTCTGTAATTTAATATCCGTCATTTTACAGTGAATTTCTGCAATTTAATATCTGTCATTTTACAGTAAATTTCTACAATTTAATATCCGTCATTTTACAGTAAATTTCTGCAATTTAATATCCGTCATTTTACAGTAAATTTCTGTAATTTAATATCCGTCATTTTACAGTAAATTTCTGCAATTTAATATCTGTCATTTTCCAGTAAATTTCTGCAATTTAATATCCGTCATTTTACAGTAAATTTCTGCAATTTAATATCCCTCATTTTACAATAAATTTCTGTAATTTAATATCCGTCATTTTACAGTAAATTTCTGCAATTTAATATCCGTCATTTTACAGTAAATTTCTGCAATTTAATATCCGTCATTTTACAGTAAATTTCTACAATTTAATATCCGTCATTTTACAGTAAATTTCTGTAATTTAATATCCGTCATTTTACAGTAAATTTATGTAATTTAATATCCGTCATTTTACAGTAAATTTCTGCAATTTAATATCTGTCATTTTACAGTAAATTTCTGCAATTTAATATCCATCATTTTACAGTAAATTTCTACAATTTAATATCTGTCATTTTACAGTAAATTTCTACAATATCTGTCATTTTACAGTAAATTTCTACAATTTAATATCCGTCATTTTACAGTAAATTTCTACAATTTAATATCCGTCATTTTACAGTAAATTTCTACAATTTAATATCCGTCATTTTACAGTAAATTTCTACAATTTAATATCCGTCATTTTACAGTAAATTTCTGCAATTTAGTATTCATTATTTTGCAGTAAATTTCTGTAATTTAATATCCTTAATTTTCCAGTAAATTTCTGCAATTTAATATCTGTCATTTTACAGTAAATTTCTACAATTTAATATCCGTCATTTTACAGTAAATTTCTGCAATTTAATATCCGTCATTTTACAGTAAATTTCTGTAATTTAATATCCATCATTTTACAGTAAATTTCTACAATTTAATATCCGTCATTTTACAGTAAATTTCTACAATTTAATATCTG